TTCTCGAGCATTTCTTTTGTTTTGGCTTCCATTTAAATACCTCCATTCGCTGCGCGTCCCTGGCTGCTTCTCACCATTATATAACAACCTCTGCTTCTCCAAGGCAGGGTGCTCTCCCTTTTTGCAGGGCAACTACTGCAGCCGAGTTGTGTAACACTGCCACGTAAAGCTGTTCCAAGCTGAAACGTGACATGCAAGTTATTAGGTTGAACTGGGACTATTATGGTTCTTTTTAAACAAACAAAAACAAAACAAAACAACAAAAACCAACAAAAACACCCTGAAAAAGAAGGTGTTTTCTAAAATCCATGGGCTAAACAATAGAAATTTGTCAGCTGAATCCTTTAAAATATTTACAAAACATAGAAATAACTTAAAGGCAAAGCAACTCTGAAACCTGACAAGCAGCCAACCTATAATAAGGTATAATCACCTTTGGCATTTGGTAAAATAAACATGACAAAAACACTGCTTTAAAATGTGATCAGTTACTATGCACTTATGCATATTTTGCACAAACTATATAGTTAGGTGTCACCGCATGCTTTAAAAAGTGTTTTCATAATAGACAGCATGTGTATCTGGATGTATGATCTGACACTAAATTACATGCCGTGGCCTAAATCCAGTCTTGTATTCTCTCCCCTTCATTATTGTTACTCATTTTCAGAAAATATTTTTATAAGAACAATGAACTGCATTTAAATAACATTAACACTTTCTGCATTGATGCAGAGAGAAGGGTAACAGGTTTTCTGGCTCAGCTTTGACAGTTACCCAGCTCCGGTGGTTCTTTGACAGGCAACGTCAAATGCCATGGCTGGTTGTGAATTTTGTGACTTACTAAGCCGTGTATGAAGTATGTTTTTTAAGAGCACTCCTCCTACTGAAATCAAAACAGATTTTCTAACAAGCAGGGTTCGCCAGTTTGAACAAGGTGTTGAGTCGTGTCTCATCCTTGGGATCATTTCCCTAGCTTAAGCAAATGTCTTCTTTTTAAATTTAAACAGAATAACACTTCTGTGTTAAGTCGAAATATATATCTTTATATGTTGATGGACTGGGGAGGCAGAGGCGATGTGTCCTGCAACTGCTGCCTCTTTGAAAGTGAGGAATACGAGCCTTAATGCATTGAGCGGCCCTGGGGTTTGCCGGAAAAAAATATAAAGTACATTCCAACAGCCGACTCAAAATCAATTATCCCGTGCTCCGTGCCTGCACACGGAATAAAACACCAGCTCACGGCATGAAAACGTGCTCAGCCGAAGGGGAGATTTATCTCTTCGGGAGGTGCAGACACTTTCTGGCGAGAAGCCGGCCAGGGAAGGGGGGAGGTGGGGGGAGCGAGGCAGGGCAGCTGTCGCAGACCCCGGTCCCGTGTGCGCGGCTGCCAGGGCCCCGCGGGGCGGGCAGCCGGGCGGCAGCAGCGCTCCGCACGGAGCCAGCGCTGCCGGGATGCTGGTGGGAACTGGGAGACGCCCCCCCGCTCCCGCGCACTGCCCCAGCCGCCCCACTGCAGCCGAGGGATCCTCCTAGGGCMCCGCTCATCCCCGGCGGCGACACACAACGGGGCCCGTCGATGCGGGTGGCGGGACACCGCCGGCAGCGACGAAGTAGAAACGCTCGCCGGGGCATTTTCCGCGGCCATCCCGCCGCGGCTCGCCGTGCGAGCACTTACTGCCTTCAGGCAGCCCCGGCCGCGGGGGGCACCGCCGACCGCCCGCTCGCCGCTTCTCTCCCCGCTGCGCTGCCGGGAAACAAAAACCACCCAGAAGCAGCACGGGGGCACCGGCACCCTCCTGCCAAACCGACCCCGCGGCGGGAGGCGGGCGGCGGCGCGGCGCTGCCATTGGCGCGGCGCGGGCCGTCCCTCCYCGCCGGGAGGAGGAGGAGAAGGAGGCTGGAGGCGGGCCCGCGTGGGGCGGTCGCTCCAGTCAGTGCGCGCCGGGCGGCCGGGTCGGTGCTGTTGCAGTTGCCGTTGCCGCTGAGGGCAGGGATCCGGGATCCAGGCAGGGGCAGGATTTAGGGCGGCGGGGCCGGGAGGTCAGGCCGGAGGTTTAGGGCGGCCGGGCCAGGAGAGTTGGCGGTCGCGCCGTCGGGGCCGCGCCGATCCCCGCCCGGAGCCTGCATGGAGCGGCGGCGCTGAGCCCGAGCCGCCCCACTGCCGCCGCCGCCGCGCTCCCGCCCCGGCCCCGCCATGGCCGAAGCACCGCAGCTGGTGGACATCGACCCCGACTTCGAGCCGCTGCCGCGGCCCCGCTCCTGCACCTGGCCTCTGCCGCGGCCGGAGTTCAACCCCCCCAGCTCGGCCACCTCCAGCCCGGCGCCGTCGTGCGGCGGGCAGCCCGATGGGGCAGCCGGAACCGCGRCCGGAGTCGGGGCCGCCGCCTCCGGAGGGCTGAGCGCCGACTTCATCAGCAACCTCAGCCTGCTAGAGGAGAGCGAGGACTTCGCGCCGCTGCCCCCCGCCGCCGCTCCCCCGGAGGCTGCCGTCTGCCGCTGCGGGGACTTCCCGGCGCCCGAGGCCGGCTGCCGCCTCCACCCGCCGGGACCGCCGCCGGTGCCGCCGGTGCCGCCGCCCGTGGCCGGTCTGTCACCGGGACCCGTGGCCGGGCAGCCCCGCAAGAGCAGCTCGTCGCGTCGCAACGCGTGGGGCAACCTGTCCTACGCGGACCTCATCACCAAGGCCATCGAGAGCTCCCCCGAGAAGCGACTCACCCTCTCCCAAATCTACGAGTGGATGGTCAAGAGCGTCCCCTACTTCAAGGATAAGGGCGACAGCAACAGCTCGGCGGGCTGGAAGGTAAGAGGTGGGTGGTGGGGGACGCCCCGTCGGAGGGGGTCCCAGGAAGTTCCGCCGCCCCCGGGCAGGAGCYGCGGCGCTGCGGGCGGCAGGGCACACCATCCTCCCCGGCCGCATGATGCSTGCTGCGCAGTGCTCCGGCTCCGCGCTTTGAGTTTTACCTCACATTTCTACTTCTTTTTACCTTTCCAAAGGGAGAACTYCTAAGGGAGAAAAGCGTTCTAGCCCTCCCGCCGGTGGGGCGCTGGAGGGACCGGGGCCGCCCCCCCCGCTCTGCGCTCTCCGCCCCCCCCAGCCTTGTCCCGCCGAAAGCAAAAGTTCACGCGGTGTCACGGCGCCGTCCCCGGGCAAAGCCGGCGGGAGCGCCGCCGMGTCCTGCGCTCCCGGGGCGGCCAGCGGAGCTCGGGGTGGCCAGCGGAGCCCGGGGTTGGCACCCATGTGTTGGGGGTGCCAGGGGAGTTCCACCGCGGCCCCGGCACTGCCCGACCCCGGGCTCGGAACGGGGGCGGTCCGTGCCGCCGCCCGCCCCAGCGCTGCAGGGCTTTACCGTCGGGCGGCGGAGCGGGGACGGAGGCAAACAGGGATGGGGAAAGAGCAGAGGGAGAACAAGGGTTGCAGAAATACCGTGGGTTTAATGAGTAAGCCGCAGTATTTGTCCYGACGGCTTTGTTAAACTTGGGTTACCGGAGCGTTTTTCTCGTGTTACGTGGTGGGACGGAGCTCCCTCCCTCCCGCAGCGCAGTCCCTGCCGCCTGAGCGGAGAGGTGGGAGCAACCTGTGGGCGGCGGGGATTCGTGCTCAGCACCGCGCCGGCCGGAGCCGCAGTCGGTGATGCCCGGARCCCCGTCGTGGGATCGGCTGCGACTCTGCCACCGCAGCGCCCGGGAGACCCGCGGGCATCGTCTGTCCCCCAGACAGCTCCGGGGCGAGCGAAACTGCGCGTGGGGCTGTGTGGCTGCGGTGGCAGCGCCAGGCCCATAGTAYCCTCCAGCTTTCCATCCCCGTGGGTCATAAAGGCTTGGCGCTGCTCCGAGTGAATGAATCCTCTCCCTCCGAGGCCTGTGTCGAGAAAGTGTCACCCACCCGTGTCCCCCTGCGCAGCGGAGGCAGCGCCGGGTTTCGTGACACTGTTGCGTGAGAGCATTGTCAGAAAGAGCTTGTGCCGTCTGCGTACGGGCAGAGCCTCCTTCGGCCTGTGAGGGATTAAATGATGGCAATAAATGCGTGAGGTGCGCGCACCTCGCACGGCATTGGCGCGCTCTGGTGTGCTCGGGACTTAGTTCCAGTTAGGGCCAGCGAAACTCTGCTTTGCTTCCTAGTATTTGCAGATTTTTTTTTTTTTTTAAGTCAGCTAAAATCCTGTATTTATGTGTTTTTAATTGCTTTTAATTGCACTGCTAGGAATATTTGTTACGTCAGAGTTTTGTAAATTTCTGTATTTTTTTTCTTTTAGAGCTAAGCAACATCCTGCTAAGGAAATGCAGATTAATCTGTGACTCATTTTTAGCTGAAAGCTTTTAGGGCTTTTGAAAGTAGTTTGTTAGTTTCTATCTATGTGTTTGACTAAAAAAATTCAAGGATAATTGTCTGAAGACATCTGTCATGAAAAACTTTAATAGGAGTGAAGTGATTGATAGCTGACAACTTTTAAATAAGGTAACTTGTCACTTGAAAATGCTGGAGTTTTTTTCCAGTTTATTTTAGTCTCCTTAAGTGCCTTTTCAGAATGAGTAGAAGAGAATAAAAGCCAAACAAGCCAAAATAAAATCAAAGAGCTCCCAAATTCAAGCGAGCAAATARGAAACACTGATAGCTGTGTAACTTACCAGGCGCTTCCTATTTTATTGCTGCTCATCCTGTGGTGCTTCAGCAAGGAAGAAGTCTTGCGCACCGCCCTCTAACAGATTGAGCACTTCCTATGCCCACATACCTCTGCTGTGACAGGGAGAGCCGTTGCTGGTGTGTTTTTTGGCTGCAGTAGCCTCTGGTAGAGCGCAGTACGTACCCTGCCACTGCTGGTGGGTAAATACACGTGAACTCTCCTTCCATAATTAAATAGTCGCTGTGTTATGCATCGGGCATATGATATCCCTGTCCCTTTGGCTGCAGAACTTCCAGGCTGCTCTGAAAGTTGCATGCTTGAAGGTTTTACCACTTAAGCCGAGAAWAGTGCAGAGTTTCTTAAACACACTTTCAAGTTTAGTTTCCAGCAGCCACTGGGTGTCAACGCTGTAACTGACCTGGCTGAGGCAGGCAGCCCATGTGCCTTGTTTATCAGCAATTCTCCACGGCTCAGCTTGAGTAAGGATTACTTTATTTTTTTTCCGGTTTGGAAGCTGTTGGTTTGCCCGTGGTCTGGGGACCTGCTGTAGGTGCAGGCGTAGGGCTGGGAGCGAAGCCTGAGTCAGCCSAGGGCCCCGCAGAGGAGGAACATCGCTCCAGAGATGAGCACAGATTAGCGACCGATTTTTCTGCTGACAGAGGGAGCGCGGGTTCGACTTAGAGCCTGGCGCTGACTTAGGGCTGGGAGTACATTGTGCACTGCTGACGCAGGCTGAGAACGGAGTGKTTTTTTTCCCTTTAAGTAAAACTTCGAGACACTTTGTCTTGTTGGGGTTTGCTTGTTTACAAGTGTGATAAGTCACCTTTCAAATTCTTCACAAAATGTATGAAACACACAAGAGCTTAAACAGAATGTGCACTTTCTGCATAGTGGCAAGGCAGTGTTTCTCGGCCAGAAGTTGAGGGCTAACTGCTCTAATGCTCGTGAATATGTACGGCCCTGATTTAATACCTGATTTTGAGCTGCTTTTTTATTTCTTACTGAAGAAAGTTCAGAGATATCAACATTATCTGCTAGGAGCTTGAAACAGCATCCAAGCTTTTCTGAATAAAAACATTCAAATAAAAAAGGCTTTTTAAATAAGGGTATAAGCCACAGGTATTAAAATTATAAGTAACATAAAATTATTTAAGTAGGTAAAATTGTTCTCAGTCTTACATACATAGTAGTTTATTCCAGACTTTCTTGTCACAAACTATTTTAAAACAAGCCCCCCCCTCTTGAGCTGTAAGGGAACAAAGTCCCCATGACTCCCCATGGGGTGGCTGCCTTGAATGAAACACTTGAGATGTGCTCCGCCAGACTTGCTGCATTGTTGGTTGTGAGTGAGTGCTGATAGTGACCGGTTTTGCTCAGACAAAGCTGAAGCAAGGAGACGATCTGCTTCAGAGATAACAAAGAAATTGTTGTGAAAGTTGCATGGAAAAATCAAACTTTTCTTGTAGTATACTAGTCAAAAAAGTAAAGTAAAAGCAACATTTTTCCTTACCACTGATAGTGGAAGACGCTAGGCTTGAGACAGAAGAGACAACAACTCCATTGCAGCTGTAGATAACTACTTCTTGACATAAATATGATAGCTTTTTGGCTAATCATCATAAATAAAGTACGAAACATCTCTGTGATGTCCATATTTCATGATGTCTTTGCTTTGTGGTAAGTGTTGAGATTATTGTAAAAGAGCTGTCACAGTGAAGCTTCCTTGAATGTTCTCATCCTTTCAGTCTGCTTTTCGAAATGAGTTTAAATAAAACTGTAACTTTCCTTGAACAGGAAACATGGAGTTTTGGTGTCACTCATCTGGAGGTGCATATGTTATTGATTTTTCTTGGTGGCAAGTGTTAAGGTCCTGTGGGCATGTCTCCTCCTGGACTTTAGTCCCAAGGAAAGTTTACCTGAAATTTATTAGTTGCCATTGTCGAAGGAATGAGAATAGATCTGGCTGCACAAGAATGAATGGATGAAAGCCAGAAAGCTGGAGGACAAAACAGGCATGGGACAGGTGCTTTGGGTGCCCTTACCGTAGGAGTACACTATGGTCAGCACTATTTTGAATCATTCAGTAGTGAATCACTCTCCATGCAAAATGAATTCTGGGTTCTTCTGGTTCTGTTGTAGTTGGTTTGAAAATCACAGATGGTGAAAAATGTTAGAAAGACTTAAAAATCAAGGATTATATTCACTGAATTTGTTCAAAGCTTTTGAATCTAGATCAGCAAACAATTTAAATTGTGGAAATTTAGATGATTTATTTAAATTGAAACAAGTACATAGAATCACAGTCATGGACTGGTTTGGATTGGAAGGGACCTTGAAGATGATCTTTGTGAGGTTTTTATTTATTTATTTATTTACTTTTAGGTGGGAAAATCACAATTGAAGATTGCCTTTAACTCAAACTGTGTGTTCTCTTAGTAGTGGTTACATACCTGTGGGCAATTGCCTCTGTCCCYTGAGATGCTTCACCAGGTGATTTGTGCCCCCCCCCAGTATCACGGATTGTATTATTAATTCATACCGCACAGACACATGCATATGCAGGTAGAAGTGTGTGTATTTGGTTTTCTGTTTGTGGATTCTGTCATACCTTTTTACATGTGGCACTAGTGATAGCCTCAACAGCCGAAAGTTGCGGTTGAGTCTGCTCTGCCATGACACCTGGCCTCATCCCACCCTGTTGTGAGAAAACTATTTGGTGTCTTGCATACCTGCTCACTGCTACCAAAATGCTTCTTGTASCAGCCTGTGGTGTTTCTGAGTCACCAGCTTGTATTGTGCTTAGTTTCAGGTGTGAAAATTCAGCTTAATCTTTGCAGGTGCAAGGTGCTCTCCTCACCTGTGCCTGAATAACTCACGGCAAAGCTGTATCCGTGGTTTTGAGCTTCCCACCAGGGCCTTGAGTTGTGTTTCAATTTTCTCTAAATTTTCTTTGCCCATTTTCTATTTGCTGTGATATCTGTTCAGTTACTTGTATGATTAACGGTGAGACTCAACAYCAAAACAAAATGTGAGTGGCTTTGTGCACTGACATAATGAACTAAAATTTCCTGAAGTGCCCGACTTTAAAGAACTTCAATACAAAGACGAGGTAACTGCTCTCTCTCTTTTATTTTTATGACATGCTCAGCTGCTTCCTTATTATCATTATTTTTGTATC